GTGATTTTGATAAACGGAGACATCTTCCTTCGTTTGTGCCCTTCGTTTACACGCAAACGGAGATTTCTCCTCTGAAAACGAGTCTTTTTAAAAACTCCGGCCAGAGTGGAGATTTTGGAAAACTCCGGTTGCGCGTTTGCATGTAAACTGAGATAAACAGAGATAAACGGAGTTATAGGCAGCCGACGTCACAGTATGCACCGGAACTTGCGCCTGTGTCAAAAGTGCGACCTATGTTGCTATGGTGACAATGGATACATGGAAGGCTTGAGCTTCTCGTTACACTGCCACTTACAGGTTTGGCATGCTCTTGTGTATATATACACGGTTAAGTGTAAACGAAGAATTTTTTGAAAATGGAGACGGTGAAATGTCCGTTTATGAAAATAGCCGGCAACGTGTAAACGGCCTCTCAGGGGAATGAGGTGATGAGACAGAGAGCTGATTGGGTGAGTTAAAACTGTGGAGCAGGTAGGGACTAATGAAGCTGATACAGGACAGGTGTGTAGCTGGCTGGGAGAAACTCAGGAGCAGGGAAAGACTAATGAGGGTAATACAGGACAGGTGTGTAGCTGGGTAAAGGAGGGAAAACAGCACAGTAACACAGGAAGGGAAGAACACAGCAAACTGAAACTCAAAAACCAAGAACACACAAGGTGTAAATAGGGCTACTGAGTCAAACCAGACAGGCAGAAATAGGGGGAGGAGGCAGTGGCAGAGGAAGAGGAGTTGGAGGAGGAGGAGTAAAGTAAAATAAAACATGAAACAGGAGAAAGGCCAAATTTTAACACTCTTGTGAGACAAGAGTGTGAGAAAAAACGTTGAGAGTGCTAGCAGGTGAAGTTCAGCAGCAGGGGAGCGTCATGAGGCGACGGACTCTAAAGTCACTGTGCTTTTTGGTATTTACTCTCCTCTGTTTGGGAACCCTGCTCACCACTCTCATCAGGTCCAAGGTTGACAACAAGTAAGTGTGAAGCTACCTTTCCCATCCACCTATAGAGCATATAACAGTGAGGACATTTTGTGTGCTGGATGTGTGTTAATAGGAGCGAAAGATCGAGAGGCAAAGCTTGGATTTGAGAGGACTGTAAGACCAGAGCAGAAAAAGATGCTGATATAATAAGGGACGATTTTGTCACTTTTGTCAAACACTTTGACAGTCTTTGTCCACCTTCACACATGTCACTCTTTGCCAGAGTGCACAAAGCTGTGAAAAAAAGTGTGTGAAATGACTTTTGATGTTGAGAAAAAGAGGCTGATTTGGCTCTTTTTGTCCAGACATGTGTGAATACATTTCATAAGGTGCCATGTGAGTCTATGCTTGAAATGTCAAGCTTGGAATGACATGCTTTGACAAGTGGATGTCATTCTGTTCAAAATGTTTGTTATTATTTAACTGGTTAAGCCAAAATGCTTTGTTTCAGTGCCAATATGGGCTCAGAGCCCATTGTATCATCAGTTTGATTTCCTGGCATCGACCTTTTACCCACCTGTCCTGTTTTGATGTTCTCTTTGGTCTCCTTAGCAATGTGGTGTCCCACAGACCGCCTCGCCACAAGAAAAGCCACCCTCCACCCATCGAACTCTGTAAACGCTGCAAGTAAGAGCAAACACCATCACTGCCTCTACCTAAATTAACAATTATTTATGCTTTCATCAGAGCAAGTCATGTCAACACTACAGAGATTATACACCTAACTATGTATTTGTTTGTGTGTTTGCATGTGTGTATCACAGGAAGGCCATTGAAAAAGTAAAAGAGATTTATCCTAAAACCTGGAAGAAGCAGGAGTACAATTACCAAAAATTCAGGTAATCCCCCTTGTATTTGCCAATATCCTTCTCCTCCTAAGATTTAACTTCCCATGCATAAAAATAAACCCAACGTGGCATATAGTTCCAGTCCCATGCTAAACTTTCTCAACAGAACCTGGAGGCCAATAGTCCTGATGGTGGAGTTACAATGCCAAAAAGTTTCTCAAAAGTTTAAAAACCCTTAAAAGATTCATAACAAATCACCTAAATGGCCTACAGCTTTGCAACTTTTAATAAAACAGAGGCCAAATTGCGAAGACACGTTTGTAAAATCCAAATAATGCAAATTCTGTTGTCCATGCCTCTGTTGTTATCAAAAAACTATAAAACTAATTAAACCTATCTTCCCCTGCACTTTTTGAACAATTCACATCAAACTTGCTACACAGTATCTTCAGGTAGTCCTACAAAAAGCTATGACCTAAATTTTAGAGTTATCAAAAACTGAGCCTACAGTGCATCAAAATGCATTAAACAGCCACTGCAAACTCTCACTACATAAAGCTGTTGTAAATAAATGTAAATATTTTGCTCTCAGGGTAGATGACGTGTGTTAATTTTCAGAACTGTACGTCAAAAACTGAATTTTTGACGGCATTTTTAATTCTGCCATCCCGAAGCCTATAGCAGTCAGTGGGGGGGAAAAGCATCTTTAAGCATCACTTTTCCACTTGTGGATTAATCAATCTTTGTGTAAAAAAAAAAACAAACAAAAAAAACAAAAAAACATTCCAGCTATATTCTCTGTTGTCTAGATGAAGTATGCACATTTTCAGAATTTTGTCTTTAACTAAATTTCTGACGTCAGTTTGAAATACACATATGGCTGTTATTGCTGCACCCCGGTGGTTGGCTGTATCATAGTGTGAAGTCACCTCCCAATTCTGCACAGGTGAGGGAGCTCAACTTGATAACAACTTGCCATTGCTACTGAAAGACTGTGAGTTCAAATTCCAGGTGGTGCAGATTAAACATGTTTTTGCTCTCTCAGACGTTTTGCTTTGTGGGCTGTAAACACGTAACGTAAGGTTCTACTGATCTGTCATTTCTCCTCCTCTTCTTCCTTTTCTTCTTCCCCAACCTCCCCTCCTTCTTTTTCAATTCCCTATCTGTGTAGCTCAGCGATTGTATGAACACAGTTTATCCATTGCGGTTTCCATATCCTAGTAGTTTTACTTTGGTGTGTTGTACAAATATGTTGCAGTTTCTTAGATCAGGCCAGATGATTCATAATAGTTCCTTTTTCTTTGTCATCTTCTTTATCTTTTTCTTTATACATATTGGAGTCTTTGAAAACTTCCCAGCTTCCATATAGCGGATACCAATTTTATGTGGCACCTACTGTTGACCTGCTTACCTTCCCTTAAAGATGCACAGCAGCTATATTTTTCTCATTTTATTGGGAATGTTATGAGGAAAATAAGCAAAAAAACAAAACAAAATAGGTAACTAGAATTACAAAAAACTGTATGCATGCACAGATGTGCTGTATCTCCAGTGTCTTCAGTTCATACAGGCAAGAATTGTCCATATGATGTATGATTTAAAAGGCAGATCAAATGAACTGTACATTAAGCCATGCTCAGGGGGGCACAATAATGAACAGCTGCCGCTGAGTCCATTTGCTTTCTGACATAAAATGAAAACTAAAAATGATAGTCTTTATTAATAATAAATTTACATGAGTCAGATGAGGACGTTGGCTCCTGCTGTATTTTGCTAATGATGAAACTCAGTCAGTGTCAATGCTCCTGACTGTCTTGTATGTTATTTAATAAATACCTTTGGGTTCCCCAGATTACAGCTGAGCTCTGAGTGCAATGGTTTTGACAAGGCCATCATTACTCAGGCCAACACTCCGGTGGGATCCAAGATTGTGTATGACGGGGAAAAGAGGAGATCCCTCAACGTGACATCATGGATTTTCAGCATCTTCGCAAAGGTATGTTTGACCCTCATGAATATTACCATCATTACCACCTGCTGCTTGTTTGGTGTCTTGATTGTTCCTGAAATGTTTCATCACTGAGATTATTTCACTGCTTTTGTCTGGCAAGTTCTGACAAGGGTCACGTGTCCACTCAGACATCCATCTGGTGGACAAACGGAGAATTACAATGAGGGATGGGGAAGTGAGAATGGGGCTGAGGGAAGGACCAAAGAGGCAGAATGGGAAAGGCAGGACTCTCAACTCTTTTCCAGGCGGAGATGAAATGAAGCCAATAAGGAGGTGCCAAAAATTTTAATTATTTTGTAAAACCTTTTCTGCTGGTGTTCATTCCAGGAGCATCCTTTTCAAAACAAAACACGGGACACGTGTGCTGTTGTTGGAAATGGAGGGATCCTGAGCGACAGCAGCTGTGGAAAGATGATCGATTCAGCTCAGTTTGTTGTCAGGTGAGAAAGGTGTCTCTTGTAGTGCACTGAAAGGCTGATGACAACCTTTAATATCATAATTAAATTCCCCTTGATTGAAAATTGCTTTTGACGATTTCTATATCTTGTTGTTGTTTGTTCAGGTGCAACTTACCTCCTTTGAAAAACGGCTATGAGGAAGATGTGGGCATCAAGACTGACCTTGTGACAGCAAACCCAACAATCCTCAAAAAGAAGTAAGCAAAAGAGATGAAGACCTTGTAATGTTTCTTTTGCCTTGTTACTTGACTTCTGTTTATTTTCAGGTATGGGTCTCTAAATGGGTATCGACGACCGTTTGTGGAGAGTCTGCGTACCTACGGCAACTCACTGCTGCTCCTTCCCGCCTTCTCCTTTGGCTTCTCCACTTCTGTGTGCCTACGGACTGCCTACACAACTTCGGACTTTGGAAGCCCCATACAGTCTGTCTTCTTCAACCCTGCTTACCTCCAGTGTCTAACCCGCTTCTGGCGCGCCCGACGCCTAAGAGAAGCACGGCTCAGCAGCGGACTAATGATGGTTAGCCTTGCACTGGAACTCTGTACCAACGTGCATCTGTACGGGTTCTGGCCCTTTAGCAATCACCCACATGGACACTATGCGCTGACTAACCACTACTATGATGACAAAAAAGCTAGTGGATTCCATTCAATGCCGGCTGAGTTTGACCTCTTGTTGCAGCTGCACAGTCAGGGGGTGCTCAGGCTTCATCTGGGAGACTGCAAATCAGGTGAAAAGTAGTTCCCAGTACAAGGGTCAGCTGACTGGACAAGAACAAATTGTTGTAGCCCATTCACTCATTTAGTCTTTCACATACTTTTGCATTAGAGGTCAACGGATTCATCGGTTTGGCCACGATGTGTTAGAATAAGCAAAAAGAAGCTTGATCAGTGGGTACAGCTCTAGAGAAAGCAGGTCTATGGGTGTTTCATTTCATTGGTGGGGACACCATTTCAGCAGGGTGTCTGGGGATCCTCCCACAGGAAACTTGATACTTCATTTCCAGCATCCTGGTGATGTTTTTATGCAACAATTTTTGGTGGAAATGTCTTTATTTATGTAAAATAAAACACAAAATTCAAGCACCATATTGACAATTGAAAATAAAATGGAATATAATGCAGTAAGGCTCTCAGGTATTCTGTGTTGCTCTCATATTTATTCTCCCACAGATCAACCTTTGTAACCGCTCACCAGGAAGACATCTTCTGACAACTTATAACGGCTATAACGTCACATGCAAAACTGTTTTGTTTTTTTTTCTCGATAGTCTTAGATCACTACAACAGTAAAGCGTTGGCGAAAAACAAATAGTAATCATTCTTTCTGCTGGTTTTGGGTGCATTGTTAAGTACTTTAATAACATTTAAAAAATTTAAAAATTAGATGATGTGCATACAGTCCAAATTACAGCAAGTTATCAAATGTCACTCTGGGCTCACTGTTAAACCGAACTGAATGCCATTTTAAATGTGATATCTAGTGTCCAAAGAATGTCTGTCAATTTTGGCTACATGTAAATGAAGATTTGTTGAGATATAGTTAATTAATTTAGCACATTCTTAAATATAGTGTGACAGACTTCTGAATAAACTAAAGGTTGCATGGTAGCAAATTTGTCAGAATTCTGTGTATGTGCAGAAAAAATTCAGGTCTTTTGAACATACTAGTGATTTATTATGATTTGTTTTGTTTGGAATGTGAAATGTCTAAACATTTAGATTAACTGTATTAAGCCACGCCCTCTAAGCAATCACTTTCCCTTTTCCCAAATGCAGAATCTTTATACTATTTAGTTTTGATGTGTACGCCCATTAAAAAACAAAGATGTAGTATACAAAGATGCATGTTGAATAAGTAAGAGTGGGTGTGGTGTGCATACATATGAATAAGTGTCTATACCTGACTACTATCTGTAAACTGACTGAGCTGTTGAGAAAAGTAAGGGTGTGGATATATGTTTATGTATGTATACTTTACTGTTGATTCTGCTGTTTTATGTAACACTCAGATCCTCCCCTTGTTATATGTTGTGTGCCTAGTTGGCACATGTGTGTTGTTTTATTTACTGAAAGAAAAATGAATAAAAAGTCAATCACAAAAAAAATAAAGTACACTTTGTAATCATTGAAAACTTGAAATGTGTACCTCAAACACTGTTTTTATTTTCCAGATTAATTATGAAACGTATTTAAGTAAAAGATCTGAATACTTCTTCAACAACTGTATGTTAACATTAGTTTATTGGAATATTAAATAGGCTTTCTCACACAGACACGTACACTCTGACCGAGAATGGTCAGATCAATATTACTGTGCAGTTGATTTGATCTGTTTTTGGGCACCTCCTCACTGGTGTAGAAGACAGTAGTAACAGGGTCCGGGATACAGGACACAGAGGCGACACTGACAATCTGGCAGCGAATGCATAGACATAATTAATAATTATGTGGAAACAGGTAGGCAGATGAGGTCTGCTGTGAAATGTTCTTAACACGCATTTTATAGTTCTGCGATGAATCGACGCTGTAGATATGGCGTGGGCTCCACGTCGTAGCCTACGCTGTAGCATATGCCGTAGCCCTAACTTGCACCTCCCCAGAATTGTAACAACGCGTCACAGTGACACAGACCTCCTGTCTGTCGCTGTATACTGACACCATTTCCCTCCAACCTGATCTCACAGAAATACGTGAAATGACCACGACCTCTCAACACTGCATTCCGTGGTGACAACACGTAATGGGTTAAAATTACGTGCCGGTACCACAGAAACAATGCCAATGTAAAGTCAATTAGGATCCTTTGTTGTGGTGGACACACGTATTCCCTGATTCAACAACGTCACGTCAGCGTTGTTTTCCTCAATGATATCTCTGTATACACATAAAAACACTAAAGTGTCCTTGATATTAAAATGGAAATTATATTCCTCTGTTATAATTTCCCCTCAATGATAATAATAAGAATAACATGATCGTTTGGCTGTACTAGATATTTGATATATTCAGTAGATTTACTTTTTTACAACCCTATTTGACAACTCTGCAGCCGGACGATCTACCATCCCAAAAACGCAGTTTCTAGAGTACTAGCTAAAATATCTGAAATTAACCAACATCCTTACTTTTTCTTAACATATTTCATCTAGGTGCAGTGTATTTACTAGTTCGGCTTTACTAGATATTTGAGTAGATATATCTTTTTACAACCCTATTTTACAACTCTACAAGCCCCCAAAAAATCTACTGTCACAAAAATACTGTTTCTAGAGTACTAGCTAAAATATCTGAAATTAACCAACATCCTTACTTTTTCTTAACACAGCTCATCTAGATGCAGTGTAATTATTAATTCGGCTTTACTAGATATTTGATATAGGTAGATATATCTTTTTACAACCCTATTTTATAGTCTCCATATACAGACTCTACATTCAGTGAATGTAGAGTCTGTAGGCAAACCCCGGAGATCTTGCCTCCGGAAGAAGAGCGGAAGAGCCCTGGTTTCCGGTTGTAGGCTGTTTGTAGTCCACGTGATATTGACCAATCATGTTTGAGCCGGCTGCAGTTGTTGCCAGGATAAACGGTCCATACGGTGAACTAACGAGGCGGAACATAATTGGCGTCACTGCAAACTCTGAATTCATTGCAATGGTTCAGCATATTTACTTATAAACGGAAGTCGGAAATGGAAATTCGCCTCCTCTGCCCAAATCAAACCGGAATGCCAAAAAATCGGGGGTCTGCCCCCAGAGGTTGTATCGCCGTCTGCCGGAAGTCAGATGCCGAATACAGCTGATGGGTTCCGTGAGTGCCCTATTTTACAACTCTACTTTGCAAGCTGGAAGAACTACCATCACAAAAACGTTGTTTCTAAAGTACTAACTAAAATATCTGAAATTAGCCAACTTATTTTTTCTCAATATAGTTCATCTAGGCGCAGTGTCATTACTAGTTCTGCTTTACTAGACATTTGATATATTCAGTAGATATATCTTTTTATGACCCTATTTAGAACCCTACTTTTGCAAATCAGAAGAACTACAACTATGTTGCTGATATGTATCAAGCTGCATGGCGCTGTCCTAGGGAATTGTAGTTTTTTAAAAATAGAAGTGTTTTTCCTAGATTTGGAAGTTGTAAATACTGAACTGAGAGTACACTGTGGACTTTAAGGGGATGGTGAACACATTTGTGTAATAATATTTTAAATATCTAATTTCTAAATGGGTGAAAATGAATTTTAACCATATTTTACCCATATCTGACAGCACCCCCAGTTGTTGACTGCACTCACATGATAGCTGAGGTCAAGAGCTCTCTATAACAGTTGGTCTCATGTCTGTACCCCCTTTAGTTGCTGAGTTATAAGCCTTCAAACCTTCAACCTGGTTGTTAGAAAATCAGGCATGTGATCATTCACTAGCCCCGTCGCAGCTGCCCAACCCTGTATGCCTGCCTGCTTGCCTGACTGTTCCTGACTGTCTCCTTGTGTGTTTACCTGTGCAATGCATGATCGTGTGTTGGCTTTGCTTTGTCCCTGTACCTAATGTTTACCTGCTCTGCTTAGTGTGTGTGTGTTGCCTGAATGACCATCTGCATGCAAGTCCAACTGTACTCTGTGTCACCTGACCGTGTAATGTCCTTGTATTGCCCCTAGATCTAGAGGTAACACTCTTTAATTTAGCCCTAACTGCATATGTAACTAGATGCATGAATGTCCTAAGCGTAGATGCATGAATGTCTAGTGCATGGATGTCCTTTTAAATACTTGCTGCTCATTTAGTTTTAAAAATTTCTTTATATATTTTGTTTTTGGCTTTAACATCTAGCCCAGGGACTGCAGCTGAAAACTAGCAACCTTGCTAATGCTGGCATACTTACAGTTTATGCATGTTTCACTGTCTATCACTGTTGATTAGTATGCATTGTCCCTGCTCAAATAAACTCAATAAAGTAAAGTAAAACATGAGGTCAAGGTTCAAAGGTCAGTATTTTAAAGCAGGAGCCATGTAGAATCTTCATACTGACATATGTTACTCTCCAGGTTGAGGCCTTTCAAATGATGTATTTGGTTTAGCTCTACGACAAAGTTTAGATTTTTTCATTTTTTGGACGCAAGCCATGCCAGGTGTAGTTTCAGAGAGCACTTTAAGGGCCCAGTGTATAAAATGTTTTTTTTTTTGTTTGCTTGTTTTTTCTTTTTTTACTGTAAATAGTTACTAAAATGAGTCATCCTCAGAGAATACAATACTACTAAAAAGTAAACCAATAATAACAATAATGAAATAAGCAAAAATAGTATTAAGATTATATTGGTGGTGTGGTGGTTAGCACTCTCGCCTCACAGCAAGAGGGTTGCCAGTTCGATCCCGGGCGTGGGAGCCCTTCTGTGCGGAGTTTGCATGTTCTCCCAGTGTCAGTGTGGGTTCTCTCCGGGCACTCCGGCTTCCTCCCACAGTCCAAAGACATGCAGATTGGGGATTAGGTTAATTGGTGACTCTAAATTGTCCATAGGTGTGAATGTGAGCGTGAATGGTTGTCTGTCTCTATGTGTCAGCCCTGCGATAGTTTGGCGACCTGTCCAGGGTGTACCCTGCCTCTCGCCTGATGTCAGCTGGGATAGGCTCCAGCCCCCCCGCGACCCTCAAGAGGATGAAGCGGTTAGAAGATGAATGAATGAATGAATGAATGAAATTTTAAAATCTATTTAGAGTGGAATGGTAGCCTAATAGATAACTTAGACACTATTTATTATTGCTTAGACACTATTTATTATTGTATTTACTTTTAGCATGCTCTACTTTTATCTGCTGTATATGTTTTAATTTATTTAATAACTGTGTGCCGTTACCTTCGTTAAATGTTGCTGTTGTCCCTGGTGTCCCTGGAGAAGAGGGAAAGATCGCCGGCCGCTAGACTAATCAATATATGCAAAATGCCATAGGCTTGTGCTAATAATGTTAGCATGTTGAATTTGTTTAAAAAAAAAAAAAAAAAACGTGTTAGTACAGGACAGTTATTTTGTCAGTTAACTTTGTGAGTTGTAATGGAGCCGAACTGTGTGCCGTTACCTTTGTTAAATGTTGCTGTTGTCCCTGGTTTTATATGAGAAGATGAAAAGATCACTAGTTGCT